TTCGACTCTCTACCCGGTGACTCGAGCAAAGACGCTTCACACTACGGTCCGGAAGTTGTTCAAGCGCTTGCTGAAACTGTGAAAGACGCCGCTGATGACGACGACATTGATCTCTTTGGATCAGATGAGGAGGAAGATGCTGAGGCCGAACGTTTGAAGGCAGAACGTTTGGCCGAGTATCGTGCCAAGAAAGCCGCCAAACCTAAAGTTATCGCAAAGAGTATGGTAATGTTGGACGTGAAGCCGTGGGATGATACTACTAATATGGAGGAATTGGAAAAATCTGTAAGATCAATTTCACTTGATGGGTTGACTTGGGGACAGAGTAAATTCGTGCCGGTTGGTTATGGAATAAAGAAGTTGCAGATTGGATGTGTGGTGGAGGATGATAAAGTTGGTGTTGGTGAGTTTTTTTTTTTAACCATACATTATCCATTATTTAAGGCTGATTGATTGATTTTATTTATTTTTTTTAGATGATTTGGAAGAGAGAATCACTGGGTTCGAAGATTATGTTCAAAGCGTTGACGTTGCCTCATTCAATAAATTGTAAAATATGAACTAATGTATTGATGAACATCATGTCAATTTATTAAAGATTCGCACGCTAATTTATAGCAATAAAAATATTACTATGTAGATTATCTATTATTTTTGAAATATGATGATAAGCAATCGTTTGAGATTTTTCTCTATCTCCTTGACTAAAAAAAGACCACTACTTTCTAGCTCCTCTTCTACGCGCTCATTTAACGTTACAGTATCCAGGGGATACTACCAGAACAACAGCAACGTAATAAACAACAAGTACAACCTAATAATTAACAAAGCATACAACTACCTTCTAATCGGCTGCAATAAAGATATCAGCACCAAAGATATTCCGATTAGAAGGTCGAATATCAGTAATTTGATAATGTCAAAGAATAGTTTTAAGCTTGCGTGTATTCAACTGTTGGTTACCAAAGATAAACTGAAAAACTTGAAGAATGCTAGAAGTAAAATTTTGGAGGCAGCGAGGGAAGGTGCCAAAGTGATTGTGCTTCCGGTGAGATACAATTAATTACAGAGATAACGATTGATATTGATAGCTTGCGGAGAAATAGAAAGAAAGTTATTAAATATTTATGGTGTTATGCTGATTGAAAAGGAATGCTTCAACTCACCATATGGAACCCAGTATTTTAAGGAATATGCGGAAAATATTCCCTCTGGCCCTAGTATCAATGCGTTATCTGAAACAGCAAAGGTGATTTATCATTTTTTTTTTCGATATATCCTGGTAATTTATTTGATTTTAAATAAATAATCGCTATATTGTGTAGTAGGAAGCGAATGTGTATTTGATAGGAGGTTAAAAATTTTGGATGATGATTTGGCTTGTAAATTTTTTTTAATTCGGATGATGGTATAATTATAGGTTCCATTCCGGAACGCGAAGAAGAAACTGGGAAATTTTATAATACTTGTACAGTTTTTGATCCCAAGGGTATGTAATGTATATCATGATATAGTAGCTCTGGTAATACCGGTAGTAATTTTCTGTTGCTACTTTTTTATCTTTTTAGCATGATTAAAATTATTATTTTCAAATATTAAAAGGAACATTCATCGCCAAACATCGTAAGGCACACTTATTTGATATCGACATTCCGGGAAAAATTAAGTTTCAAGAAAGTGAGATATTGAGTCCCGGTGGGTCGTTGACACAATTTGACACCGGTAAGTGAAATTGAGGTACACGATTTCAAATAAGAAATTCACCGGATATTATTTATTTTTTTTTATTAGAATATGGAAAAATCGGTATTGGTGTTTGTTATGATATGAGATTTCCCGAGCTGGCCATGATTGCTTCTAGAAAAGGTATTCTTTATCCGACACGTTGATGATTTCATTTTCGTTGTTTGATCTTTTGATTAAGCAACAATTAATTGATTTAATTACGTTAGGGTGTATCTTGATGGTCTATCCCGGTGCTTTTAATTTAACGACAGGACCCCTACACTGGGAACGTGAGTTAAAATTTTTGTTTTTTTTTTTGCTCATGAAATATTTGATTTTGAATAATATTTACGACGAAAAAAACGAATGGATACAGTTTTACAACGAGCCAGGGCGGTTGATAATCAGGTATGATATATTCTTTAATGTTGATTTTTTTATGATGAAAATTCCATTCAATCCATTTGATCATTGATTATAGATTTTCGTGGCAACTTGTTCACCAGCACGTGATTATACCGCGACCTATCATGCTTATGGACATTCTACTATTGTAGATCCAAAGTAACTGGTTTTTTTTGTTTGAAATTAGAAAGTTTCGTTTAATTGATCGCTAATTTCTTTTAATAAAGTGGTGAGATACTAGCAACAACTGAAGATTATGAAAGTATAGTATACGCCGACATAGGTAAAGCAGGAATTTGTATTGTGTTAATATTAGGTTTGTCATAACTCTCTTATCTAATGACCATTTTAACTTCAATAATAAATAAAAAAATAGACTTAGATAAAATAAAAATCATTCGACAAGGTATTCCAGTTACCACGCAACGACGGTTTGATTTGTATCCAGATATTGCTGCTAACAATGGTGACGACACCAAAGCTACCGATTATAAATAATTAGAAAATTGTTATTTCTCGCATTGTTCGCACCAGAGACATTTATTATTCTCATATACTGTATTTTATTTTTCATGTTGTTAATATTATATTAAAATCTGTGAAGTAGCCTCCGGTTCGTTCGTTGAGTGCATAGGGATGCGCTCTTCGTTATGGGTCTCAAGGACAATAAACCCATATATGATTTGTTATTTTCATCTGAAAAAGATGCATCGGTAAATTTGATAGACATCAGATCAGCGACGATCAGTAAATATGCTGATCGTCGCTGATTTTTTGATTACACCGACCCAAAATCTGCGCAGAACTCTGAAAATAGAAATTTCGGAGAAGTGTAACCCG